TAACCCTTACATGCATTTATTTTCAGTAATATTTTATGTTTACTTGAATATAATTTTACTAGTATTTTCTTTGAAATTCATCATTTTTTTGTGTATGTATGGGGATTTTCAAAATAACAGATGACAATTGCTAAGGAGCTAGAAAAACAAAGATCAGTCAAAGCCAAGCGATTACAAAAGGATGAAAATATTTATTTTAAAGCAGAAGAGTTTTGGTTGAATAAAGAAGGTTGTCCAATTGGAACGGTTCCTATTCGACGATTGACACAAGAACAACTCGAAAACACCAAAGATGCCTCCTTAAGCATGGCAAATGAATCCCTTGCTGAAGATATCATCGATGTAACTACTTTAATTATTGAAATTTATCATTAATAGTCAACAAATTCAATTTCAAATACTTATTCTAATTAATTTAATGTAATACTATACTTCAGTTTGCAGGAATTAGCATAAACGCATCTCCAGAAATAAAAAAATTTACAAGTGTCTCAACCAGTGTTACTTTGTATAATCCACAAGTAAATGGACTTGGCCAATATAGTTCCGCAACAATATTTCATCAAAGTGCAGATAATGCGACAAATTTCGAGCAAATACAAGCGGGATGGATTGTAAGTTTTTATTTCAAATCAATGATTTGATCCTATAAGTATTTTTGACGATCCAATTTCCTAAAGTCATGATGTTTATTTGGTTTAGGTACATCCAAAATTATACGGTGATAGCCGGACTCGGTTGTATTCCCATTGGACAGTAAGTATATTATAAAGTAATTGATATTTTTTAAAAATAAATAATTCAAAAGCATGTAATGTAAGTAAATTTCATTTTTTTGAATTAAATAGACAGATGCCAACCGGAAAATAGGATGTTACAACAATATTTGTCCAGGATTTGTTCTACTTGACAATGAGGTACCAATAGATTATGCTTTCCCAAAAATCCCTAGGTCAATGTATGATGATTATGAATTGCTAATTCAGATCTACAAGGATCAAGGTAATTAAATTACAATAGTTGTAATACTTTGGAATATTAATATCAATAAGTATCTTGTTGTAACTCTGATGTTATTTTATTTTTTGCAGACTATTATCTTTTCATACAGTCTATGTTTGTTATTGGATTTTTTGCCGAAGACCATTTTCAATGAATTAAGAAATGAATCGCAGGTAGTGCGATACGGAGTACACCAGCGGGTGAACCATATAGTCTACCCATAGGAAATGGCAATCCACACACCACTTGTCATATGCGTCAAGTCATATATGGAGTGGGCTATAATCAAGATGTTCAACCTGATGAATCGTTGGTTCAAACTCATCAATCTAGATGTTACCATGAAGGAAGTGAGCATAATGCTCATGATGATGATTGGGATTATAATTTTTTGTTTGGGGTGGTGGTTTTTGTTGAGATGCACCAATTGCTTGTATTTAATTGATATATAAAACTAAGAAGCTATTATATTAGTTTTTGCAATTGCAATTGCAATTTATTTTGGGCTATTCAATACTTGATGTGCCTGTTATTGAAAACATATTATGTCAATCAAACTCTTCACTTAATTAGCTAACAAGTGTGGCGAGACGAATGTGATTTTTGCATCCTAAGTAAGAGAATTTTTTCAGTTTGAGCTTAGGAATAGAAAAATTCCTGACAGAAAACACTTTCTCTTGTAATGTGAGCGCTGCAATGTGTAAAACACTTCACTTTGGGATCGCAAGGCACAAATTAACTGTAATCACGATGGATGAAAGTCCTATAACAAAACCATTTACAACAGACTACGTAGAATTGAGTACGAAACAATCGATTGGTTGTTGAATCAAGAGCATGTACAATGCTGAAAAGAGGGGAAAGCGTCAGGTCATGATTAGACCTTCATCCATAGTCATCATCAAGATCCTCATTGTTATGCAGAAGCATGCACTACAACAAATTAAGTTGACCCTTTAACAACAATTAGTCTCAGCTTTAATGACGATTACTTAAAAATTTTTAAAATACAACCAGATTCCTTTCAATTAAATAAAATTCCCAAACATTCTCTCCAAATTCAATTTCAGTCCCCAAATTCTAAATGTCTCGCCACTCTTTTCCATTCCATCTGAAGCGATTGCCTTGAGATTCACCAAATATCTCTCAAGCATCAGCAAGCCTCCTTCCATGGCTACATACGACGGTTTCAGTCTGAAGCACCAACAATTTCTCATTCTTTCAGTTTGCTCGCTCTTCTACTTCCAACGGGTTAATCTCTCTCTTTAATTTTCTTCTGAAGTTCAGCAACCTACTGATGAATCTCGATTTGCATGTTTTCTTATTTGATCTCTCTTTCTCGCTGGTAATGTATACGTTCATGTGCTATCAGCCTATCAGCTAATAAATATGCCTTTATCTTCAATTTTCTTATAATTTGGTTTAAATTTGTTTATAAGATAAGGAATGTTACTAGATCCACTAAGTGTTTGACAAAATATCTAGAAAAAACTTGATCTACTGCTTCTGATTAGGAATTTCTTTTGTTGCAATGTTGGTATTTTCTGTCAACGTTACTTTGACAACCTTTGGATTTCACTTTTCAAAAACTTGAGTTGATTTGATTAGTGTAAAACTGTATATAATAGTCATTTTTGCTTTCTTCTATGTTTAGCTCGAGAAGAGGATTTAAAGTTCTCTATTTCATGATCAGTAGTCAAAGTGAGGTAAGAACATAAAAATCCCTTTGTTATTCATGATTTCTCCTCTTCATGTCTTTTGTTGAATCAAGTGAATATTTGTACTTCCAGATTTCGATTCCATGTCTCTCGTCTTTTTGTTGTTCTTTGCTTGATGAACTTTCCAGTTTTGTTTCTTTTCAGTGTTAACACTTTTTAGTTGTGCAAATCCTTGTCGATATTGATAAATGAACAATTTTCTGTGTAGTCAAGCAAATAGAAATAGTAGAGCTAAGTTATGGTTTTACTATTCAAATGTAACGGAAAAAGAGTAACAGGGAGAATTACACAGCACGCAGGAGATAATAGAGCGCTATAAGAGGCCTACTTAAGACAGAGTTCAACCTGAAAACCAAGTTGGGGCACAACATCTGCAGGTAGATTCGGGTTTCGTGTCTCCTCTGTATAGGATGAATTAGAAAGCAACTAGTAGTTTCTTGAAAGTTAATAAAGTTTTACTGTAGCTTACACAACAATGCAGCATATGCAGTAAGTTTAATGAAGAAGATAGAGCTCCTTGAAACATCGAAAAGGTTCAATTAAACCTTACTCCAGAAGTTGTTGCATTGTCATTTCTCTCCCTTTTTAGTAAGTTTTAAAGATGCTTCTTAAACAAATGAAATTTCCGTCAGGAAATTCTTGAGAGAAGATCTGCTGTCATGTACCCTTCAAGAAGTACAACAGATAGAAAAACAGTTGGAATAGACTGTCAGCACCATTCAGTCACGAAAGGTTTCTTCTCGAAGTCTTAGAAATGATCTATTCTTCTTATAAGTCTCGGAAACTTGACATTTATCTTATCTTGTTCTTTTAAGGTTCAAGTTTTTAAGGTGCAGGTTGAGTGACTAAAAGAAAAGGTAAGGCCACATTGACTGATATATTTTGAGCTTTAATTCACACAAAGGTAAAAAAAAAATAACAATCTATCTATAGACTATAGGCCTTACTTTGTTGAATGTGAATGTCTCTATCGTAGAATTTTCAACTGCTTTACTACTTGTTTGCTTAATGCTTCACTTTCTTACGAATCCTGGAGAAAATCCTTGCTGCTGAAAATGTAAAACTGAGGGAGAAGGTATATTTTTCATTTCCTTACATCAACCTTAGTATAGTCTTCTTTTCTTCAATTCTTCGACTCTAATTCATAAATATAATCAAATATAAAATTAACTTATCCGGTGCCTATGTTTATAGTTTGGTGACCTTAACAGTGACAAACACCAAGTGAAGAGAAGGAAGGAGAAGCTCTTTGTACAGATGGTAGCGAGAAATCAAATGTTGAGACTGAATTGTGCAGAGTAAGGTGTCTCTAAAAGAATTGATTGGTGTAGTATCTTCTTGCCTATCTGCAGTTAAAGGGGTAGTTAATCATTTGTCAAATTGTGTTCATGCAATTTTCTCATTCTAGAAGCATAGTCAAGCAAATAAAATTAGTAGAGCTAAGCAAAAGATGCCTCACACGTAGCAACCTTGATGAATGAACAGGTAGTCATGCATAAATTACTTGAACAGATAGTCATGCTTAAATTACTTGAACAGGTAGTCGTGCATAAATTACTGGAACATGTAGTCGTGCATAGCAAGTCGTCAGGTAGTCCACAAAAACAGGTGCTTGCACATCCCGCAGTAGCAGGCTCTTTCACTCATTGTGGTTGGAATTCTACACTTGAAAGTATTTTGGATGAAGTCCCTTTGATATGCAGACCATTTCTAGCAGACCAATTAGTGAACGTAAGGTCTCTGATCCAAATATACAAGATTGGGTTTGAATGGGAGGTTATGGAAAAAATGGTCATAGAGAAAACAGTAAGAAAACTCATGTTAAGTGAAGAAGGCAAAGATGTGAAGAAAATAGTAGCAGACATGGAGCAAAGCATAGTTTCTGGTATGCAGATTGATGGTATTTCATATAAGAATATGAAAGATTTGGTAGACTTCATTTCTGCCTTGCCATCATGGCTCCCTCCGCCAACACCTGCTGTTGGGGCAATCTTGAGCTCAAACCATATATCAAGCAAGTGTTTACATATTTTTGTTGCCTGCTACCTTGAAAAGACAACAAGTCCTTAATCACAAAAGGAAGAATAAGATCCTCCCGATATTACATATGATCGTGATCCAAGCTGTCATACTTTTACTGACTCAGTTTTCTTGTTTCTTCATTGTTGAACACATTCTTTTTATTTTATGATAACTTGAACACAATCTTATAGGTAATTCATATTTTTACCACTAGAAGACAATAAAGTGGATGTATTAAGTTTTTGATTGCTCTTTTAAATGAATGACGTTACCCTATGGTATGTTAATTTCTTAACTGTATGCACTGCTAGCATCACCCTATCATTTTCTTACTGTTATCTATGTGTAGGTTACATCGGAGAATTTGAGTACGTCGATGATCATAGGTCCGGAAAGATTGTTGTCGAACTGAATGGAAGGCTAAACAAGTGTGGTGTCATTAGTCCTTGCTTCGATGTTGGAGTCAAGGAGATTAAAGGATGGACTGCTAGATTGCTCCCTTCCCGACAGGTATAGTAATTAATATATTCACTTTGTTCCCTTGATCAATATATGGAACTCTGTTTCTGGTTATCTCCAAATTGAGCCGAAATGATTGTTGGGGTGAATGTCAAGTCATGGTCATATTAGCTTGTGAAATAGACATTATTAATTTTTGATTGCTTACTTCTTTGCTGAATTATGAATTGCCTTGCTAAATGGGCGTTTGACCATGTTTCATTGTGAAATTTGAAAAAAGTAGTTTTGTTTTCAAAGGGAAAAAAGACATTTGAAAATTATTGGTTCTCCTTAAGCAGTTAAAAATCTTGAGTAAAAAATCTTTAGTACTCGTGGTAAGCATCTGTAATCCATTTATAAATGTCACATAGCAAGCACTCTTTGTAGATGCTAGCAGTTGAGGAAGAATTCCTGTCTATCCAAAGGAGAAATTTTGTATCGTATGGCTTGGCTAACAGAGTCTCTGCTGTTATTTTTGTATTAGTCCAAGAGAAGTGTGTTTCTTTGTACTTGTGGCAATTAGCATCTTATATTGATGCTTATATTTGAAAAATTACAAATTGTATCCCCAACAACATATCAACATCGTCTATGTATTTTGTATGTTGTGTCTATGTAAACTTATGTCCAGCGATACATAAGATATGCAATCACATATACTCAATTGACGTATACATATTTTTTCCGTCTTCTAAAAGTCCAGCTAAACATTGTTTCGTTCACACTACTAACTGGAATAATTGCATCTGCTATCCAAAGTCTGTAATGTTCTTGAGCTCTTAGCTGCCTATTCAATCTGCAGAAACCTTTATTTTCATAACAATATATACCTTTGGAGGTTGGAGCTGCTTGTGAAGACTTCCATAATATAGTCCATGTGAAGTGTGTTTCTTTGAAGAAGTATCTGAACAGTCATATTGTGGATTGAAGCATCATATGTAGTTCATACTTGATACTAAGCAAATGAAATTGCAGACATTTTCTGCGATCACAGATGGAGTAAAAGTCGTACTTGTTTGTCAGTTTTATTTTGTATAGTCTATTTTATGTTTTGATCTTTGCATATTGGTTTTCAACTTGCAGTTCGGGTACATTGTGCTGACTACCTCAGCTGGTATCATGGACCATGAAGAGGCTAGGAGAAAGAATGTTGGTGGAAAAGTTCTTGGTTTCTTTTATTGAGTCATGTTGAAAAGGATGAAAACTTTGGTTTTGCTGTTTGTTGGCTCGTTGTAACAGACCTTTTTCTGTTTTTTCTCGTTACCATCAAATTTATTGAAAATTTTGAGACAATTATCAGATTTTGTTGAAAAACTTGCTGGTGCTTATTGCCTGTTGAGACAATTGACATCTAAAGTTGTAGATATGTTTGTGTTTTTTTACTAGTATAGAAGGTAAGAGAAACGTCCTCTTTTCTTCTAGTCTTGTTAGCTTCTATAGAGCAAGCATACATGTTAAAATTCTGGTAAAATGAACCAAGAAGGTTTGATAGTGAGTTTGTGTTCAAGTATACCATTTGCGTAAACAGTGAATCCGACTAACTATTTGCGTAAAGTTCACATCATAAAATTGACATAGTGAAGAGAATTTTCTTAGATGTATTTGGTTATTAGGTCTTATAGCTCAGTTGTTTAAACTAGAAGGGAAATTTTTTGAAAAGAAAAATCAGTTTGTTTATGGGTAATTAATTTTGCTATCTTGAAATAACTAGGTAACGTAGGCTACTTATATTAGCAATAGCTCATATTGATACGACAATTTAATTTATACTACTTTTTGTATATTTTTGAATGTCTTAACTTTTAATTTTATAGTATTACTTATTTAGTTCTTATTTTTTAATTTTTGCTTTTTCCTACTTATGGGTGTGATCAATATGATAGTGATAGCAATAAAGTATAATTGTTTGTTTTCATACGAGGGGAAATTTTATTGAATTTAATTTTTATGTTATGTCTCTTTCTTTTCCCTGCAGAGCTATACTTTAATGGTCTTACATAATGTGATAAATATCTAAAAGTAGTTATATTTCAGTTATCCACTATTATTTATTTTTTGTAGTTATTGCTCTCAATTAATTTTATCTAGTTATGTAGCTGACGTATTATTCAAACATTACCAATCTTCTATGCAAAACTAGTAAATTTATCTAAATAAGAGAATTTTTCTGTTTCTATCATTTTTTTTATATATTTGATCAATGAAACAAAAAAAAAAAAACAAAGATAGATATGAACGCAACAAGAATTTAAAAAAAAACTTTTAAAATCATATATAGAAAAATGTAAGTTGTAAGTTTATACTTATAAATATTATAGGAAGCTCAAAATGATTTTACACTTGTGACATTTGCGTCTAATTTTTAATAACCTGCTCAAATTCAATATAATTAACCCGTTTATTTGACTTTTATCCAAATTGAGAGAAAATCAATTAGGGATTTGGGGAAATCATTTGCTTGACACATATTTTTATTTCAACTGTTAGTTTTTAACAAAAGTTAACATAAGAATGTTTATTGCAAAGTTTAGAATAATTAAAGGATATTTTTGTTTACAATTATACCATAAGTTTGAGCTATACTTGAAGTATGATTTTTAGCCCAAAATGTAAAGATCACATCACAAAATTGACATAGTGAAAGAGAATTTTCTTAGAGGTATTTGGTTATGAGGTCTTATATCTCATTTGTTTAAACTAGAGGGAAATTTTTGAAGAGAAAAATCAGTTTTTTTTTATTTTATGAGCAAGTAATTTTGCTTCTTGAATTACATATGTAACATAGGCTACTTATATTAGCAATATCTCATATAGACATGACAACTTATAATTTATACTATTTTTTTTTAATAGTTTTTTGAATGTTTAACTTTTAATTTTAAAGTATTACTTATTTGGTTCTTATTTTTTTATTTTTACTTTTTCCTACTTAAGGGTGTGATCAATAAAATAGTGATAGCAATAAAGTATAATTGTTTGTTTTCATACGAAGGGAAATTTTATTGAATTTATTTTTTATTTAATGCCTCTTCTTTTCCCTAAAAAGTGATATCTTAATGGTCTTACGTAATGTGATAAATATCTAAAATTAGTTATATTTCAGTCATCCAGTATCATTTATTTTTTGTAGTTATTGCTCTCAATTAATTTTATCTAGTTAGGTAGCTGACGTATTATTCAAACATTATCAATCTTCTATGCAAAACTAGTAAATTTATCTAAATAAGAGAATTTTTCTGTTTCTATAAATTTTTTTATATTTGATCAATGAAACAGAAAAAGCAAAGATAGATATGAACACAACAAGAATTTTTTTTTTAAAAATAACTTTTAAAACCATATATAGAAAAATGTAAGCTGTAAGTTTATAACTTATAAGTATTATTATAGGAAGCTCAAAATGATTTTACGCTTATGACCTTTGCGTCTAATTTTTAATAACCTGCTCAAATTCAATCTAGTTAACCCGTTTATTTGACTTCTATCCAAATTGAGAGACCTATTTTTTTCTGCATATGAATAGATAGAGCTCTATTCCCCTTTCTCCTCTATATATATTTCTCCACTTCATTTCTTAGTGAAATATGTGAGACAATTGCTTCTTTCTTTTAATATTTTATAAAGATTCTAAATTGACTCCAAGATAATTAGATTCTTGAAAGGATAGGCCCTTCTTCATCTTTTTCTCAAAAATTTCGACTTCTCTATTTCTTTAGACAAGAAAAATGACATTCCAAAAAATCAACACTAGTTTGGTATTGATCATATTTTTTGCAGTTCAGTACACTGGTTCAACACAAAACAATAATAATATTCATTTCGTTGTAAGTATTGTCTGTTCATTTAATTTTTTTTTTTTTGCATTATTAAAGTTATGGTTTGTGTTGTGTACTAATCAATTTTATCTTGTACTATCAACAGATTGAAGAAACTTCTTTCGATAGGCTTTGCCAATCGAAGAAGATTCTTACTGTCAACGGACGATTCCCAGGGCCTACCATATATGCGCGCGCTGGAGAAACGTTGGCCCTAGACGTTGAAAACAGAGGGAAGGACAACGTTACAATGTTTTGGTACACAATTCAAATTATCAAGAAATCCTACTTTTCATTGTTTTTGTTTGTTTAAGTAATTTGTTACTTTTGGTGACTCTATTTTGTTCTTTCTAAAATTAAGTTGTAGGCGCGTGGGTAGACACGTGAAGTTTGATCAAGTGGAATGGCTAGTTGAGGCAGGGTCTACAGTAAGAAAAAATATCACAATATCTGACGACGACGAAGGGACGCTATGGTGGCATGCCATGAACATCTGGCAACGCGCCACTGTTCATGGCGCTTTCATTGTCCATCCAAAACCCGGAAAGCCTGATGATCATGCCAATATTCCCATCATTTTAGGTATATAAGTTAAATAATATTCGAATAATTTAGTTTTAAGTAATTTATTTCAAAATCTTAAGTCGTTTACTAACATATATTTTCTTTTTGTTTGATTAATTCTTCACAATTTCACCAGGTGAATGGTGGAAGAAGGATGTCAAGGAGGTCTTCCTTGAATATATTGACTCAGGCAGTGACACAAAATCCGACGCTTTCACGGTTAATGGACAGCCTGGTGACTTCTACCCTTGTTCAAACAATGGTATGTATAAGTCATTCCGTTCAATTTATTTATATCAAACTTAATTAATCTAATAAAAATTAAAATCTTTGTATCCGATCTCTTTAATTAGACATTAATAATAGTCAAGGAAAAGACATGGCTTTTTTCCAAGTAATGGTGGAAGGGGCTTTAAAATTTGATAAAAGAAAGATGCATTAGCTCTGTTATTATGTCGTAATTGTATTGAAATTTTAAAAAGAAAAATTCTTTTAATTTGTCAACGAATTTCACTTGGATCAGTTTATGTCAAACTTGGTTGTAGCCTTGTATAATTTGAAAACAAACTCATGTGTTATGTGTCAATTATTCCTCATCGACTATAAAACAGTTCTCCTATCTATCAAACTACTTTTTTTGGGTTGGACTCTTCTGTTTGATTTCTAACATTTTTTTTTTGCGATTCTGTCCATATGGGCCAGAAAGATTTTACTTATTATTTTCTCAGAGTTATTTGTTGCACTCATTTTAATGTTCTTTTATTAATTAAAATGGACAGGAACTTTTAGGATAGTAGTCGATACTGGGAAGAGATATCTTCTCAAAATTGTGAACGCTGCAATCCATAAAAAACTTTACTTTGGGATCGCCTCACACAACTTAACCGTAATCGCAAGGGATGGAAGTCCTATAATAGAGCCATTTACAACAAACTACGTCGAATTGACTAGACAACACTCGATTGATTTCATCTTCGAGGCGAACCAACATCCAGATTATTATTATATGGTTGTTGTGAAGAATATTAGCGAGACATATGACACGAATAAAATTACAACCGCTATTATAGAATACCAAGGGAATTACATACCCTCTTCACCACCTCTTCTTCCCAACTTCTCCTCCAACTATGATAAAAGTTCTAGTAGGAGTTATTTATATGTAATAATGACTTTTGTGATTTTGGGTTTATTTTTTTGTACGACATTCGTTGTTTGGTATAGGTTGACTAATAGGGCTCATAGAAGCGCAATGGTCACTCCCATGTAAATTGTAGTACTTATAATAAAGTTTTATATTGATGCTTATATTTGAAAAATTACAAATTGTACCTCCAACAACATGTCAACATCGTCTATGTAATTTGTATGTTGTGTATATATGTAAACTTATGTCCAGCTATACATAAGACATGCAATCACATACACTCAATCGACATATACACATTTCTCGATTTACCTAATGACCGATATTAACCCATAGATAAATAAATAGAGGTGGCACTAATGGGTAAATGAATAACAACTGCAACGAATATGCTGAAAAAACTACCAAATACGCCTATCAATTCATTTGACCATGAACAACCAAACTCTGGAACAACAACTACAAATTTGATCCTAATATACTTTCTAGATTTCACAAATGATGACGATTTCAAAGTGGTTTGGTTTAAAAGAGTTATTGAACTTGATGGAATGCAAATGTGGCTCCAAAAATGAACTCCGAATTTCAAGCTGGAGGAAGATATTCCTATTTCACCGGTGTGGGTTCTTCTCCCGGGACTGCGTTACCATATGGTACATTGTTAGACAAATAGTCAGCTCTATATATGGAATCTGCTACTAACAGTAAAACTAGGACTTGCTTAAATCT